ATAGGAGCCCAAGTAATTACCAACACCCTAAACCCTAAACCTATCTTGCATCATACCTCAAATAGACCCAAAAATAATGCGCATATCGATTCAAGCCTCTAGTGGATTATCAGAGGTATCCAAGAAGTGGGGCCTTGTGTCTATACAAATTCCTACATATTTGGCTGAAGGGGGTAAGGGGGAGTGAATAGAGGTAATGTAGTAAGGGTATATATGAGCTACAGTCTAAANNGGGTTATGTAGGGAGTAGATGGGGCAGTAGTCTTCAGGTTTCGCACCCTAAGCTACGTATAACTGGGTTTTCCAATAATGCAACAGCCCTGAAGCTGCATCCAATAGTTCTAAATCCTGAACCACCACATTTTCCTACGACTTCCAACACTACACACGCCGGCAATAATGCCTTGTGTCCAAGTGTAGGTTGCAAACATCTCCCTTTTTTAGGGTGGACCGTCACGGAAAGTCATGTTATGAATATAAAGCCACCCACCGCTGCATAACCAATCTCCCATTGTTTGAATGATCATGGTTGGGAACACACATGGTTGGGAACGCACATTGTGGGGGGGGGGGGGGGGGGGNNGGGAGGTGGCCATGATCAAAGGGAGGTAAACCCTATGGAAAACCCTGCAAAATCCCAGTTGTCCTGTCATGTTTCCTTTGATTCTCCACTAGGCCCTGAAACCCTGAGCCTTGGGTCCCTCTAGGATATTTCGGTATTTACCCCTTATTGGCTTCATAAGGTTTAGGATTTAGGGCTTAGGGTTCTGTGTACTTATGTTGTTCAGAGGGCTCCAAAGACCAACCAAGATTAGGGTTCTGTATACTCATTTTGTTCAAAGGGCTCCACCAAGAACCCCATTGGGCCATGAACCTCTTGAGTAGTTTTTTTTGGGATACTATGGTACCCAATATAGTAAGATTCTATCCTCCTTTTTGGGTATGGTATTTCATATAAGGGATATAATCTTACTAGGTTCAACCACCAAAAAACACTACTCTCTTGGAGGCTGGAGGCGTTGCTCTACTTTGGCGACACCTCCTCGCTGGTTGCAAACAGGCCGGCAATGCTACTGGCAATATGGGAGCTAAGAGAGGTTAATGGGAAATATGGGAATTCAAGGTTTAGGGTTCAGGGGGGTATAGGAAGAATGGAGAATCAAATGGAAAAGAACATGGAAAATGAGATGGGATCCGGTATACACGGGTAAGAGTGGTAGAATGACTCCCTTCGGCCCCCCCCTCGCACGTAATATTGAATAACCCCATTGCGGTATGTGATATCTAGTCGGAATATTTAACATTGGGGGGCGGGAGGTGTTGGTATTGGGGGAGGGGATCACTTATGCAATAGCCAATGCACCTCCCCGTCAGGTACTATGCCTGCAAACAACCTCTCCTGGGAATACATACCTGAGTGCGCATGGCAACAGTCATGATTGCAGGAATCGGTAGCTGTAGGCTTGAGATAGGAAGTTGCACAGGAGTCTTACGATTCTTGCCAGTTGGGCAAGCTGAAGGTCGCACAGTTGCTGCTTCAAGCCGGTGTCAATGCGGACTTGCAGGATCTGTTTGGCAATACGGCTCTCATGGAAGCAGCGCACATGCTCACACAGAGATGGTGCAGTTGCTACTGTAAGCCCGTGCCAACAGGGACTTGCTGGATTGTGCAGGGGGGACTGCCTACCAGCTGGTAGAGATATTATACAGACACACAAGAATTTTGATGCACCTGTGCAACCTTTGAGCTTTGAACTCAAAAGAGCTATAGTCATAGTCTGAACTTCTAAAAGGCGGGTTGTAATATAGGGTAGTATATAGTGGGGAGTACCATTGGGGGTTATCCAAGGGGATACGAGGAGTTGAGACTATAGCTCCCAAGCAGATTAGAAAACTGAAAGGCCTGGAGCGATCAATGCTTCGTCTGGTTTTGGTGGCTTTGACAGCAATTTCACCATGGTGGTCTTTGGATTTAGGCTCCGAGGCCCTGAAAACATTCAGGATTGAGCCTCTAAACTTGTTGACACCCTTCAACGCTGGTAAAGCTAACGGGCTTAACACTGGGAGCTAGGCCTGAAATTCTCAAGCTAGGCCTGACATTCTCTTTGTGATTCCAGGCCCCAATTCAAAAAGCCCCGTGTTTTCCGCCAATAGCTTGTATTACTCGAGTTGTACTATGTTTTCTCAGGTTAAGGTATATAGGATCATGCATGATTTTATCAGTCAACCATGCTTTCTGAACAGCTTTTCTGGCACGGTGGCAATTAGGGTGCCATGATTTTCTGCCAAACTGCACAGGTCACAAAACACAGGCATTGTGCCAACAGCTGTTCCGGCCCAGTGCCGAAAGCCGTAGCAAAAGTCAATCAGCCTGCAAAAAGGCTTGCAATCTTTAACTTCAAAGTTTGCAAGCACCAACGTCAAGGTCTTGTGTGCGGCTGTCGGTTGCTAATGCCCAGATAGGTGCTGTGTCCTACACGCGCCCTTGCGCAAAACCGCTCAGGGCACACTAACGCATTGCACTTTTGAATCTAGCATGGTGGTTCAGTATATCCGCACCAAGCCGTATCTTTCTGCACTCCTGATAATCCTCGCGTCTCCGCCAAGGTAACTTGGGCAAGAGGCCGCTGCCGCTTGGTTGGCCAACATGTATGGCGTTCCAAAGGGTTGGGGGACATGTGAACAATATAACTCCAATATAACCTTAATATAGCCCCAAAGTAACCCTAATATAACCTCAATATAGCCCCAATATAACCCTAATATAACCTTAATATAGCCCCAATATAACCCTAATATAACCTTAATGTAGCCCCCATATAACCCTAATATACCCTTAATATAGCCCCAATATAACCCTAATATAACCTTAATATAGCCCCGATATGACCCTAATATGACCTTAATATAGCCCCAATATAACCCTAATATAACCTTAATATAGCCCCAATATAACCCTAATATGACCTTAATATAGCCCCAATATAACCCTAATATAACCTTAATATATCCCCAATATAACTCTAATATGACCTTAATATAGCCTTAATATAGCCCCGATATAACCCTAATATAACCTTAATATAGCCCCAATATAACCCTAGTATAACCTTAATATAGCCCCAATATAACCCTAATATAACCTTAATATAGCCCCAATATAACCTAATATAACCTTAATATAGCCCCAATATAACCCTAACATAACCTTAATATAGCCCCAATATAACCCTAATATAACCTTAATATAGCCCCGATATAACCCTAATATAACCTTAATATAGCCCCGATATAACCCTAATATAACCTCAGGGAAGCTGGAGGAGCCTTGGTGAGGAGAAGGGACAGGGACTTGAGCCCCGTTCAAGCTTCTACACCCTTAAAAGACTTCAGATACTCACTGACTTGAGGCACATTCAGGATTTTGGGCTTAGGGCCTGGATGCTCCAAAATTTGCTTTTTCCTCATCCATTCCCTACGAAGCGGGGACCCTGAACAACGCTAAGACTGCGAATGCAAGATCCGGACCAGCTATCCTTCTACTTCAAGGACCCTGCAACTTGTTGTTCCTGAATAGGGCATGAAGGAATGGAGATGACAATGTAAACTGCTGTTTATGGCTCTGCTAGGAGGTTGGCATGGAAAAGAAGATGGAATACTCTTTATGGCTTAGGGTTTCAGATGTCGGGAATGGAAAATAAAAGCAAAAGAAGATGGATGTCGGGAATGGAAAGTAAAAGCTAGACTAATCTTGGAGAATCCTATATTCCCCAACAGGAACCCATGTCCGGGAAAAAATCATTGACTGTAGCTCAGATATGAGTATAGCGCTGATGGGATTTTCTGAAAGCAGGATTCCTTTGTGAAAGCCTATCGCAATTACATGCGTACCCCCCATCCGAATTCAAGGAGGCGCATGATTGTGAGAATTCCCTAAACCCTGAACCCGAGACCTTAACCAGTGTCTCGCATGAACTTCGAAGCTGACTTTAACTACCCAGATGAAGCACAAGCCCATCATCTTACCGGTTCCCATTAGTAAATCAGGGAATATTATATATCTGTATATATATATATAGAGGGATTAGGTGTAGGGTTAGTAGAGAATAAGGAATATGAGTTATATGGAGATTATATTCCCTCACTCCCTACTAAGAGCCAGTACGTCATAAGAAGTTGGTAGGAGTCAGTGTGACTGGTTGGAGTCTAGTCCAGGGTAGCTGAAAGGAAGCTGAGGCAAGCAATGTTTTAAGCTAGTTCTGCAAATCGCGGACGCGCCTGAAGTTCACACCAAGAAACGTCCCAACCAAATCCAGTTCGTAAGACAGGACTCCAAGTGATTGCAGCAAGCTTTCCATTGCAAATTCTGTTGTCACGAAGCGATGTTTGTTGTAATTACTCTCACCAGACTCCTCCTAATACAGCTTTTGCTATCTGTCTTGTTCGAGGACCCTCCAGACTTCCTGGTCGCCATGGTGCATAGAGTCGGGAAGACTGTGGGCGTCCACCCCGACAATGTGGAGGCCGAACCAACCCTGTGAAAAACGAAACCAAGCAACTGCCACCCATCCGTGACATTGTCACTGAGAGATTGTATCTAGTTCCTCTTACTTTGACATTCCAATCTCTGGCAGGTTTGAAGAAGTAGAATCCAACTAGGGTCAAACGCGCTTCAGCCTATCCGACTAGTCCAGGTTCACAAGCGCTAGAGAACTTAAAGGTCTGCACCAGGACCTGTTGAACCTATATGGGGTGAGTCAAAATGATGATCCTTTTCTGGTGGATTCTTAGACCAGGATCCTCCTCTGTTGTGAGAGTATATGTGGGGACCAGAACTGTAAGCTGCAGCCGCCACACTTAACCCTATATGGGGGTTCCCAAAAGTGGGGGTACCATTTTGGGGGTCCCCATAATAAGGACTATAGTATATTGGGGTCTATACTGGGGTCCTCCTATATTGGGAAACTACCACATACAGCCAGGTTATCTACCACCTGTACATGCCGAGCGCTTTGCCTGCGAATCTGCATCTGGACAACTTCAACAAGCGCCTACGGCACCATGATTTTCGGGTTTACATCTAGGCTGGGGGGCTTAGGGGGTTTTCCAAGCAAAAAGTGCGAAGGTATAGTAACGGACAGTTATATGTTCGAAGGTGATTTGGCCCCATAGAGTGGCGGTTCCAATTCGGTTGGAAATAACTCAAAGTCAGCAATTTGTAAGACCCATGATTGCAGTGAGGGTTTACTCCACACTTGAGGTGCTTAAGCGCCCAAGGAGATATTCTCGCGAGGGCCGAGGGATTGTAGGAATCCCTATTACATCATGAGGGGAACAGGTTGTGATTGCGCAGGCTGTCCAAGAGAGCCTGTAAGCAGCAAGCTGCGCTTTAGGCTTGAGGGTGTGGGGCCTAAGGGCGATGGTAGTAAGAGGCCTCTGCTTAGCATCTCTAGTTCCTGGCGTCAATGCCCCAAAGCAGTGCGGAGAAGCTGCAACATGCAAAGTCTCATACGGATGACGAACTATAGGATGCCTTAACGTTGAGACGCTTGTCAGCGCTAAAGTCACCCTATCAGACAGCCCATGATCTTGGCACTTGCCCGATGTCATACTGTCAAAGGGACCCCAATGCTGCGTTCCCCCACCCCCCCCTTTCGGAGTGGAAGCCCAAGGTATCTCTGGCCGCATCGCTTCATGTCCGTGTCCCTCTTTCTGGATGACTATGAGGATGGAGGAGCTTGTGGAGTGTGGCGGTGTGATCCCCATTAATCCAGAGGCCTAAGCAATTTCCAACATTTAGTAACTCTGAAGGAAAATGGGATGAAACTGGGTTTTTACGAGGCTTGTGGCACTCCCCGTATACACGCTTCTCAAGACTGGCTCCTTCGGTATGCCTAGGAAGTACAGCATTTTGTTCGTTAATGACAGGAGCAAGAATGCGACAAATCGGAATAGCGTAACGGGAGTTTCCCAAAGAGACCCTGGATAATTTGAGGACGCCTGAGTATCGCCAGAAGGCCCAAGCATCCCCCCCTAGATTCTACCTAGTTCGGGTCACCCCCAGATCGTTCATATTTCTGTGAGGTGACTGCGGAGGACGTGTTTCTGAGGCCCCACATTATACAAGCCTATGTAATTGGAGTAGGTTCTTCACAGTCTTCATTGTACATATACGTGTGACCCATGAAGTTGATACGTGGAAGGGGCGGGCACTAATGTCCAGGGTATCGAAACGGTAGATAAACTTACTGGTGGTTAGTAGGGAACGAGGGAACACAGTCCCTACATATTACACATACATTTAATGTCTGCATTCCTGTTTTCCCTACTGACCCCCAGTAAGTAAAGGCGTAAAGGTGAGTGACTCCAAGGAAAAAAGGGGCTCAAGACCGAAGTGTCCAGGTTGACGAGTCTTCGCCCCAAAGAAGATCACTTCAGCTATGGGGAGGTTCCTCGATGGTAGTTTCCCTAAATGGGGGGACCCCAAAATAGACCCCAACATACTATGGTCCTTCTTATAGGGACCCCCAAAAAGGTACCCCTAGTTTAGGGAATATCTCAGATAACTTAAGAGGAACCCTTGTGACTGCTCCCAAGATCCCATTTTCACTAGGGCGTCTAGCGGTATGTTCAGTTTTCCTTACCTCCCTTACCTTGGACATAGCCCATAAAACAGCTGTGAAGAGGCGAAGCGGTCGCTAAGGATAGTCTAGTCTGACTAGTAGATGGGGTTCCCCATAAATTCGGGGGCCCTAATATCGACCAAGTCATCATAGTACATGCATTATCCTCATGAGAGGACCTCAGAAAGGGGCTCCCAATTAAACTTATGATCTTATCTAACGAAGAAGCCTGAATAGCAGGGTTTAAGGTTAGATAGTACCCAAATAATAGGCCAAAGCGAGCTAAAGTGGAAAATGACATGGAAAAGTGTGGTTGTGTATGGGCCTTATGAGGACAATCCCAACATTCCTTGTACAATTATTGTATACTGGCCTCAAAGTGCTCTTGGTAATTGTTTAGGTGCTAAATCCTAAGCCCTAAACCTACTATCTTGCTTGTGAATGCAGTCACCCTCAGCGGACGCTACACGCAACCCCAAAACAAGGCAGCGGTCGTATGGGAATTTGTCGGAGTTAGCCCTTTCGAATCCTTCATAAGGATCCCTGGGGTTTAGGGGTTAAAGTGTATTTTAAGGTTTAGGGTTTAGGGTTTCCTCAGGCCCCTTAGAGCCTCGTATCTCGAATATATATATCTAAAAAACTCTTGTACTAGAGGCGCCTTCATGCAACCCCTTGAAGACATTTGCTCAACAATTACTCCTACCCCAGATCCTAAACCCTAAACCCTAAAAAGTAGTTTCTATTCTTGTTCCATTATCCTTAGATAACCCCTATAGAATCCCCAGATACATAGGTACTGGATCTCAAGCCAGTGGGAAAGTAGCCCTGGGCGAGGAACCGTCTTTCCCTTGTTGCTGAACACCTTCGGATCGGCGCTGAGTTTCGGGCGTACTCTGGGAGAAGTTATGCAGGTAATATGTAGAGGCCGAGAACATTACTAATGTTATGGTCCATATTCCTTGCAGACTTAGATCGGCCTCAAAGTTGTACTGGTAATTATCCAGCACACTGCCGCAGTGCATTTGATAATCCTAGACAGCTTCCGTGCACCAACATCATGTTCTGACGGTCCTTTTATATATATATATATATATTCATTTTGCAATATAAAACCGCCAAACCCCGATCTACTTTCACAGGCCCCTACAGCATCATTGTTGGCAAGAGAACCCCAGTATCCATCTTTGTTGTCGATTGTTCATTATTGGGGCCTCATCCCCCTAATTTCAGCCCTATGTAACCCCTACATGTCCCATATAACCCCTAAGTAGCAAGATTTTGCAAGTGGCACCGTCTCATGCATGCTCAAATATTATAACGAGGAATCAAAGGGTTTCAAGCAAATTTTCTACAGGGGATATTCAGGGAGTTCAAGAACGTGTAATAGGGATTTGTACAGGGATCCATTCCCTCATTCCGTACTTAAGCACCAGGGATGTGAGTGCGGACCTGGCAAGCGTGTGGACATGGCACACTGGGATCCACCTGAGCAGTCTTGCGCCAGTACCTTCTTCATAGCTGCCGCCTTAAATGCGTAAAGGAGACAAAATGCTTTGCCTGCACAGATCTGAACAGTCCCCGGGTGAAGACGTTCCAGGCGATTTCAAGACATGCCAGGCAGCTGCCTCAGCACACTCGGTTGGCACTCAAAACCTTTTAACGCGGGGATGCCTTACACTCGCCTGAGCAAAAAAATGGAACCCACTGACGAACACTGCTCTTTGCATTGCAGGGCCCCTGCGGAGCTCACTGAGGACAGTCTGTTGGCACCAACCGCGTCGCATCAGAGCACCACGAGGCGCAGATCTGTGGGGGGAGCCAGAAATTCGGGGTCCCTTTCGTGGAGTCTCTGGTAAGTAAGGTCTAGAGCACCTTTTGGTGCCCACCGTTCGCAAGTTGTTTTGGGCCAGCACTAGCTTCAGTTTCCCCACTGAGGGTGTCCTGAAGCAGGCGCTTCCCTCATCGGGATCACCGCATTTGGAAAATGCCGAGGAACCGCCACAAACATTCCAAGTCCTCGTGAAATCAAGGCCAACCCCCTGCACACAGAACCCTTAGCTTCGCACTCTCAGACCATCCCCCAATTTGTGGCGCCCTCAGGTAACCAAAAGGCTTTGTAACCTACAGGGCTATGATGGGGTTTGAAGGCGTTGCTAGGGGATCTAGTGTATTCCTCTAGTGTATTCCCTCCTCGCAATAAGAAGAGGCCAGCAAAGGAGGATATCTCAACGTCTGTAACTACCACAACTCCTTAATCATAATCCTCGCGACCTCCAGAACAAAACCAGCGTTACCCAAGGTCCAACATAACAGAGCCACAATGATAAACCCCGACCTCAATGCGATTGTTTTGCAACACAGCCCTTGAATGATTTCTTTCGTCTCTCGACTCCAACATTTCAATGATCAAGTAGCTACATCTACCTTCCCTAATCTAATGGCCAACTAGCCCATGACTGCTTCTGGCGCCACTGTAAACCCCTGTCAAGCGCCAGACCTACAAACCCATCTGTACCCCAAGTCCCAAATTTCAAGTAAATCAACGGTTGCAGAGGAGGTTCGTGCCAGCTCTCGTAGGATGAAGCTCCTGTAGGTATGATACATACTTCTGCACATGGGTAGTTCCCAAAATTAGGAACCCATTTTGGTACCCCTAACTACTAGGTGCCGTAATATAACCTATGACCAAAAAAGGGGCCCATAATTTTGAGAACAACCCACATGCATCCTCACATAATCTCACATACCTGACACTGGAAGCTTGGTAAGCACGAAAGAAGCTCCTTGAAGCCTGGACCCTGAAACTCCCGCGACGCCCAAACCGTCAAGCTGCTTAAACCATTTAGCTGAACAGTGAGACCCCTCAATTATAAAACCGTCCAAACACTACATGGTAATTAATTACCGCAAATAGGGGGCCCTAATTTAGACCATGTTAACTGTCGGAGCCCTTGAGCGGGGTTCCTGATTCTTGGAAATCCGAATACCCTAGAAACCACTGTATAAGCCCATTTGCCCTTTCCTTTTGCATGTTATTTCCTTCTGCTTCTCCGTTGTTGGTGGAAAAGCCCTAGGCAACCCCTATAATCCTATATGATCTGAATCAAAGCAGATCGAAGCGTGGCAGCGCGCCCTCAATGCGGAGCGCACCCAGCAGGTAGCCTGGCGGGACTCTACTTGATGATTTCCAAAAATTAGCAACCCCTTCTTGGGGGATCCTCATAATCAAAATTGAGTTTGTTGGGATTTTGTTAATGCGCACCATCTATAAAACCTCCATTTGATGTATGTTTCTGCTTTGGGCTTAGGCTTAATGTAACCCGAATATATACCTTAGTATAGTAGGTTCCATTCTATTTTCCAGTATCCCAATATATACCCAATAAGAGCTTAGAATTACCCTAATGCCTCCGTTAGGGTTCAGCGCATAGGGCTGAATCAAGCCTTGGGATCCAAGATAATTACAAGACCGAAGTTTGTTTGGGCTCAAAGGTTGTCTGAATGGTTTGTGGATTTGGGAAAAAAGCTATGTTTCCGACAGCTTGGATTTTACAGGTGTTGCTTAACCATTCTTTCACATCTTTCAATGTGGCTTCAAATCCTTTGCGAACAACACGTCGAGTAGTTTTTCGGGGGGATACTATGGTACCCTATATACAGTAAGATTATATCCTTCTTAAGGTTTTGGGCAGGTAGGCCCGAGTTTGGCAGAAATCCCGAAGATGCTTCACGACGTCAAAGACGACTGCTACTGATCTGGTCATCAGGAGTGCAGGTGACAAGCTCTTGGACACCAGCCTTTTTGGAAGGCAGTATGGGGCGAAACCTAGGCACTTGAAATCAAACCACGCAACCTACTCAGGCGCTTGCGCATGGCTAACCTAGCAAATAGAAAATGGGCACCAGCCAAGGTCACCGATGACAGAGAAGCATACGTGGCTTGCATGCACTGCAGGGTGAGGGCTGGTACATGCTGTGGGCTCTTGGGGTGCTCGAAACTGCTCTAAGGATCCCAAGGCCCACAGATTGTTGTGCCATTTGCTTAGAGGCTGGTGGCAATGTATGTCATTTGGTGATGAGGGTGAGGAGGGATACAATTCAATGACTTCCGTTCAAGGATCATGCTGATGGATGAGGGAGAAGACGCTTAAGGTGCAGCATGCCTGCCAGAATCTGGCCTCAACCAGGGCCAGAGATCCTTAGCATCTTGTCTACCCCGGCAGCTCCCTAGCATTGACAGGTCCTGCAAGCATCTGAGGCGCATCGAAGAGTCGATGGTGATGAGACCAGCGAGTTTCGTAAACGAGTACTTGAAGCTGCCAGAGAGATGTGCAGGCGCATCATGGGTGCAGGCTTTGGAACCCCATGCCAGTGAGCAATTCTTGAGCACAAGCAATTGGAGGTATGGTCGCGAGGCCCAGATTCCCGTGCTCCCCGAGAAGCTTGGCCTCCAGAGCTGTTGTTTTTGTCAAGGGGCAAAAAGGCTTTCAGGGCTGAACAGACCGAAGCACAAACAAGGGCATGGTGCACACTTTACCAAGGAAAGGGACCATGTATCTATGGCTGCTTGGCCGCAGACCAGCTCTCATTCTCTCATCATCTCAACTCGAACACCAGGCAAAGGCCTGGAAGAAAGGGGACAAGAAAGTGGGAGGAAGAGAGGAAGAGAGAGATGCCAGTGCCTACAAGACACGTGATCGATTCTGCAACACTACCCTGTGAGACTTGAATACTGTATGAGGTCTAGCATCAACCCATGAGCCCTGCCTGCCAGCTCACATGTCAACACACTGGGCCTGCCCAAAAGAACAAAAAGGAACAAAGAAATCCGAGCAATCAATGAGGAGAAGACTTTTGACAGGGTAAGTAAATATTACTTCGCTGGAGGTATTTACAGCTTGCAAGAATGCGGGTCTAAATCACACCCAACTTTTGCTGGAGCCTTGCTTTTGCAATCCTTGCTGTTGGCCATGAAGCCATGACGCAAATAGGTTCAACTACTTGGACAACGGAGAGGATGATGTTCGAACGCTCCACAGCGGATGTAGCGCGCGCAGCGAGTACAAGATGATCGGTACCATGTGACATGGCATGATTTGCAGTTCGGGAAGTTTCACCAGGAGACGGAATTGCGGCAGAATAGTACCCTCAGACACCACGATCGCGGGGTTAGAATATTGAGGGGCTAGCTCCTGCAAGCAGGAGATTGTTGGAGTCAATGTCCTTTTCTTGTATCGTGCAAGCAGTGAAGGGCTCCCAAGTCGTGAGTGCCATGATAGGGGTCCATTCTGATTCTGGAGATGTGGATGATCTGGTTCTTTTTTCGACTTGTGGCATGTCTTGGAGCCCAAGTATAAGACGGAGCCCGACACGATGTCAAACAGAAAAGGCAGAAGTCGTGCTACATTGCTGTGCAGCTGAACAGAGCGTGACATCAAGAGGAGATGGGATTACAGTTGAACAGGCCGTTAACTAGCTGCCCCAGGATGCAATCTGAGTCGTGCAACTCAGTTTGTCCAGGAAGGTTTTGAGAAGCAGATAACCCTAGAAGTAAGTCATGTACTGTAGCCTCTTGGCAACCGAATTCTGACCTTATTTTTCATCTTCCTAGAATTTCTCCAAATCTGAGTAAGCAAGGTCCCACAAAGTCTAGCATCTGAGGTTTCTCCGTGATGGCAGCGGCCCTTTTCGATGCCTGGCTTTCAAGCTTACAGCTTCAAGTATTACATGGACCTGAGGCGCTGTAAGAGACCGGTAAGTTGCTGCGTGTGGCCATACTAAGGGCTTGCACTACCTCGGATTAAGGTAGAGCCGCTAAGGAACGAACCAGCTACTACGCTCCTAAATGAAGCGCATATATTGTCATCACATTAGGCTTCTTGGGATGGAGAATTGAGGGATTGCTCGGGTTTTGTATTTACTGTGCACCCCTTCATCAGGGACCCGTCTGTGGTTCCCGCATACGCTGACACAGACCTGACATGAAGATCTCTCTTTCGGAGATGTAGATCCAAAGAAAAGATCCGCAAGGGCATGGATGGGAAGGATGCCTAGGGCCTAATACTCATGTTGGAACTTGTCCATGCTTTTACACCCCAAACCCTAAATAGTAGGTTCCATTTCCTTTCCACTATCCCTATATACCCCCTGTAAAACCTACAAAGCCTATACTTTTTTCTGGGGTGTGCTCCAAAGTAGAGAATAGTGTTATAATTGGAATACACGAGGACCGTAATAAACGCTAATACAATCACCATTATCCCTTAGAGGCACTCGTACCTAATGTGGTTCTTTTCATCTTGTGAAAGGGAGTGCCATGTCCAGGGTGCACATTTGGGCTCAATCTGTTAGAGGTTCCGTAGTCTTCACGCACAGCGGATTCTGCAAAAGCATCCACACCCCACAAGTTAAACATGCCCCTGATTTCCAGTCTTAGGATCACTCCCCATAACCCTGAGCCTCAAGCTGCACCCGAATATAAGCAATGGAGTCCCATTATAGTAATTTCCATTTTCTTTTCAATTATTCCAAAATAAGACCCATATAACCCAATATAGCAATGCATCACAAAAGCTTCAAACGAGGAGAGCACGACTCCTTTTGGCATCCTTTGGTGCCACGTCCAGACGAGGCTTGCATGGAGCTTTTGAGGTTTTGTCTTGGAAGAAATCCTACAGGCCCTGGGTACTTGCACGAAGTACCCTGAGAGTCCAAGTAGGTTTTTGGGGGACTGGCAGTTGATGCTGTCTACGGCCTCTCCGATCCCCAAGTCCATATGCCTGAACTCTCATACTGGGATAATGGAAGATAAAATGGATAGAATGGAAACTACTATAGGGTTTAGGGTTTAGGGGAACCCCATTCTGAAGCTCTCTTCTTCCATGACAGACTGGGGAGATTCAGCGGAAAATGGAAATGATTGGCGTGGCGCGTTTCCGCTTGGACCACATCGCTGCACCTGGGACCTGACAGTGCAGTCATCGGGGTACAGGTTGTTGGAGTTGCCGTTGTTGGTGTTTAGGGGCTAGATTAGAGTTTTGAAGTCTCAGTGGAGCTACCGACACAATAAGACCCAATCTGCTCAAGCCCTCTGACCCCTGGGTCTCTCAATCTCACGAACCTTAAAGCGTAAACCAAAGCCTTAGATCTCAAACCTCCAAAATCTTGCAACCTAACATCTTGATCCTGTGAGAAGTCCCTGTGAATTGGAGGGCATTCAAGATTAAGGGGAAGTGATTCCCTTACTTCCATTTTTTGGAAGAAAGCAACTAGAATTGGGCTCGTTGAAGGGGCCCAAAACCGCCCATCTATCCTGACTAGGGTTTGCCGACATTGCCAAGTGGGAGTAATAACAACATACGATTTGGGGCTGAACTTATGGAAGCTAGGAAGCTTGAAGCGTGTCAAGTCAATTATTGTAATATTCTGGTAGGGCCGGTTTAGGATGTGAGCATCTGGACGCATTCCGTTGCCCGTTGCAATAAGACCGCCACCCGTCTAAAAAGAAGAAAGTATCCCATAGTCATTGCTTGCTCTGTCAATCTCTGTGGGTTGCGCGTGGTGCGCAAATTGCAAAGGCCCTCTTCGATCTCGAGCGCCAGGCCGTGTTCGATCTCCATGGAGGCCAAGAAGCTCTGCGGCCACCCAGCACAACGGAGACGCGGTCCAGGGTTTAGGGTTTCTTTGAACACGGCGCCCTTGGAGACCTAAGATCTATGTGGAGATGACAAGAGGCAGATTGCGGGGGCTCCCTCAAAGGATTCCATAGGGGCAATTTTGAGGAACTCCCGTCTTAGAGGTGCTTCAGATTGTGACCCGCTTTTGGGGTTGCTTGCTGTAAGAACTGAACCTTGTTTGGCGCATGTTCGGACCCAAAATCAGAAGAGTGGCAAATCATACCTTAGGTGCTGAATCGAGGCGTTAATAGGGGTTGCTAGAGCAGTCTTGGGAAGTTATGGGATGGCATTGATACGAAAACCTCAATCAGCCAGCACATTTCTTCATAGCCCCTACAAGAGCCGTGTAGCAGCGGAAATATGCTTGGAAGACCCTACGCCGCTGCCCCTCCATTGAAACAATCAGTTTCTGAAGACTTTGGCTGGGGCCCCAAGTGTAGTTGTTGCTTGCTTGCTACGCCTGTTATGAAACGAGAAGGGGAGAACAAACAGGGTCCAGTGCAATGAAGCAATTCTACCTGTACTAGTCATAATTAGCGGACATCAATAGTTCAAGAGTGTTCGACCATCGCGCGAGTACACTGAGCAGGGCGCTGAGCACAGGCCTTAGGGTAAACGGTAGTTTCCATAAACAGGGAACGCCAAATATGGACCCCAATATATTAGAATCCTTAGCACGGGAACCCCCAGAATGATTAGTACCCGTAATTTTAGGAAACACCCAAATGCCAAATCTGTCAGCGTCAAAGGGCTGAGGGCTTCAAGCCTGGCCACGCCATGGGTCTTCGGCCCCTTATGTAGGGGTAATGGATAAGAAAATGGAAGCTACTATAGTATATCGGGGATATTTAGGGATAATGGAAAAAACCATGGAAACTACTATTTCGGGCTTGCGGCTTCGGTATCCTTATCCCGTAAACTCTTTCAAGCATTATAGCCGCCAAAATAAACGTATGTAACCCCTCCGTTTCCGAGTGTTTGTATCCAACCTTGAGAAGATGGAAGTTACATAGATAGGCAGGGGTCCAAGGTCAGACGGTTCTTGTCTGCAGACGCAGACATATTTAAAAGGGTTGCCGCATTTGGGGACCTATATTTGGAGCCCTTATCTTTGGAAACACCCAGATCTCATCCGCTCAAGGGACCCACAGGCGAGCAGGAGAGAAAAGAAATGTCTGAGGGGGACCATCACAAGCCAGTCTTTCTCCCAGTCGGCCTTTGGGACATGTAGACATTTCCCCTGTTGTGCGAAAGGGACCCCAAATGGAAATGTGTTGTGCTACGGGCTTGCAAGGCCAACCAAGTTCTGTTCACTTGCTTATTCCACAAGGCTGGCGCAATATTGAGCCGCCTTGTCAAACTTATTCATTGTTAGCAGGACTCCTTGTGGCTTGCGCATCCTAACATTTCTTTGCCGGGTTGCTGGGTTGATGTTAAGGAACTTAATTTAAGTTATTATATTGGGGAAACCCTCTTATTTACTATATATACCCATTATGGTAACTTAATTTAAGTTCCTTAACAGCAACCCAGGTTGTGTGAAGGAAGTTCAATTTCGGGGAGACCTTTGGGTTTTTGGTGTCCATTGCCTTGCTCTAAGCCAAGGCTTGTGCCCTTCCACAAGGAGTACACGGATTATCTCATCGACCATGGAGTTGAGCGAAGTATCTATGGCCTCTTCTCTGGCATGGTACAGCAGCATGGGTGGACTGGGAAGCTCAAGTGGTCCCTAAACTCTCCGGATGGACTCGTCTTTTGATTCTTTCGGGCTCCTTGAACGAATCTGATCATGAAGCTGCCCAGATGTCGGATAAACTGAGTATACCACGGCGAAGCTACAGGAGACGAGCCACTGCGCTACAGTGCTGCTACAGCTGTGGCTACGTTGCAGATGACCTTTGGACAAGGAGCCCTTGCACAGGCCAGGGTCAACCGCTGCACGTCTCGCACTTGTGCTTCTGCTCCATGGGCCTCTGGGGAAGGGACGCAGTCGATCCGACCGCATGCATCGCTAGCGATGCCTGGCTCCGCAGATGTTGTGTGATGGATGGCTTGTCGAACAGCGTGGAGCTCAAGCCTGGTCCTGTCCGGGTCCTTGTGGGGCTCTGTGAGGCTGCTGCCTCAATCCAGGTCATCGGCTTGCATCCATCAAGATGAGACGCAATCCGCATTTGTGCATCCGGATTCAGAGCTTGCATGCAGCCTAGCTCTGCGTAAGCGGAAAGGCGGAAAGGGGGCTTAGAAGAACGTCTTGCCAAGAGCTGCAGCTTGCTTGCTGACCAATGACCGTGCCTTGAACGTTGAGCTTGAGAAGGTCTCTACGTGAATGTGGCAGCTGCGGTGCCAGCTGCCAATCAAAGTCAAAGGCATGCACTGACAACGGGCTGGCTACCTTTCCACCAGAAGCCCGAGCTGCCAAGTTGCGTAAGTTTGCCTGACAGGAATCGAGCTCAAGAGATATCTAGTTCAGGCTTGTCATCTGTCGCGTGCCATTGGACAGGGAGGAGAGGTTCCACCCGAATGATTTCTCTAGTTGTTGGTCTGTTCCGGGGGTCTGCCGCACATTTCTGGAAGTAGTTTGCGACAACCCTGATGCAGAGCCCGCTGAAGCAAGGCTTTCCAGCCGAGGCATAATTAGGAAGAGCCAAGAAGGACTCGGAGTTTTCAGGTTCGGTATACCTTCATGGAAAGGCTCCGCGATTCCATCTCCTTGGCCATCAAGCCTAAACGTCCTTAACTATGCGTTGACACGGTTTGCGGGCTAGTGCGAGAGGCACAGTTCAAGGTCTTCAGGTCGTTATTTTTGTGCCTCGCTTTGCCCTCTTCTCTTAATTGTGCGTGCCTAAGCTCAAGAAGAAAGCACCGCCAGTACGACCTGTAGACGGGATGACGGTCTAGGGTGATTGGGCCTCCTCATGCAAGCTTGGCTCCGAGGGTGCAGTTGTAACGTATCTGCGCCACACTGTTGCCACTGAGCGGGTGCAAGGCAAACATCCCAATTTCGTCTGCATGTGGGCTCAAACCATCGGAAACTTGCAGCCTTCAGCGGCGATTGCAAAAGTTTCAGAGGCTGGAGCGAGCGATGATTGCTGTCAGTGAAACATTGGCAACAAACCATTCTTTGATGCTTGCTAGGGCCTAGCTTTCGACTTGAGGATGCACAAACTTATGGCACGTTGGCCAGGCTTAGTTCTTCCGCGAAGCTGGAAATGCTCGACACCCAGTTTTCTCAAGATGTTTCCTGTAGTAATGTTCACAAACCTGAAAATCTACACAGGTCGGTTGAATATCATTTAGTGGAAAATGCGCATGGGCCGCTGCAAAATTTCGGTTCCTGTAACACAAGGACAGCGAAAGCTTTTTCAACCAAGAAGACCGACTGTCGTTGAGCTGATGGCAAGCACGTTCATATGAGCCATGGTCTAAACTCCTTAAAGGGGGTTATATAGGGGAGAATATAGGGAAATATTCTAGGGGTCATTAAGGGGGATACTAGGAGTTTAGACTCTAGCTTTTATGAGCGACCGCCTTTATGATCGTGTGGGAGACAGGGTGCGGCAGAGATACAACTATCCAGACATGAACAAAACCCGAGTAAAAGGATATAGTCTGCCCTAAAGTAGATGGAATATGAAATGTATGGGGATCTTATTCTAATATACCTAAAGCCAGGGGGACTATAGGCCCCCGCACAAGCGATACCCCCACAATGGGCGACTTATAAGGGTCCCATCCAAAAGCAAAGACATAGGGCATCCAGGCGAGTGACCGGGCAAAACATTACAAAATGATGGGTATGAACACCGCAGTGTGCCAAAACATTGTAAAACGATAGGCCACCCCTTCCCCCAACTCCGCAGTGTGCCAAAACCGGTTTAGTTACGTAGCTGTTCATAAATGAATTACGCAACTGCTCATATAACCCCAATATTATAAAACCGATATTACCCCTAATGCCCTAGGTCATAAAGTAGTTTCCATTTTCTTTTCCATTATCTTTCAGTTTGCCGTCGCTGCCTGGCTTGGCTGTACTCAACGACCTTGACGACTAGCAAGACCCGTACAACCCGCCTTTTAAGCTTTTAAAGAGTTTAAAGGGCGTATATAGTGATACATATATATATATATATTGGGATGTAAGGTTTAGGATTTCGCTAAATGAGGGGTACCTTCTTGCGTTCCCCATAATTAGTAAGGATTATAGTTAGTAGCTCTGAGTCTATATTGGGGGTACTCCTATCTTGGGAAACTACCATTTGTCACTGCCTTATTTTTCTGTGTGATAGCTTTGATTTCGGCAGATGCGTACCGAAGCAATCCCGCAAGATACTTGACCTGCCCTTTCCTTTCTGAAACCTATTTTCCCGCTGGTTCAGGTGGCAAGGGTTCCTATTTTCTAGAGCCAGATTCGCAAACAACTGGTAGTTTCCCATACTAAGGCAACCCCACCCCAAAAAAGGTATCCCTAATTGTGGGAAATCCCGAACTGTCCCTGCCAAGACCCTAAACCCTAATCCCAGAAAACCCTAAACCCTAATCCCTAAACCCTAATCCCTAAACCCCAAACCCAAACCACTATCCCTGCCAAGGCCAGACACACTTTCGCTGCCCTTCATCCCCAAAGGTGCGAGCCACCAGGTGGCCTGCAACATCGGTAGGAGATTATTAGGGGTTTATATGGGGTTATTAAGGGTTTCTATGGGGTTATTCAGGGTTTCTATGGGGTTATTCAGGGTTTATATGGGGTTATATGAGGGATAATGGAAAAGAAAATGGAAACTATTAATTGAGGGTTTAGGGTTTGGGGGTTTAGGCTTGAGGGTTTAGGGCTTAGCGCCGCGCAGAGATTAGTAGAGCAAGGTTTAGTTGTCAGTCTTCAAGTGAACTAGGGTCTAAATCGTTCGAACTATTGAAAGCAGTAGAAGGGCTGGCTGCAGGGCTAAGAGGGTATATACAAGATTTTGCCACGACTGTTTCAGTATATGGTACGTTGTAACAATACTTGTCCGTTTTGGGGTTCCCGGTATGATACTGCCTTTAATATTTGGCGCGCCCAATGGCTGTGCAAGCTCCACATATGGGGGCATGGGGGGTGCTCAGGACCAAGGAAGTCCGAAGAGGGATTACGGTTATATAGGGGATATATTAGGGATATATTGGGAAAATGGCAAAGAAGATGGAAATTACTATTCAGGGGTTATGGTTTAGGGTTTTCTGGAAATTTGGGGATTGGGAGGTTTGCAAGTGGATCGTAGAACGAAGTGCTTTTATACTACTTGTAGCACGTTGTTTCGAGTTTCAGTGCACAGAATCTCATGGAATGTACCTACAGCTTCACAGCTTTATGGGTTACGTTACCTACCAACTGGAGGCCAGTCACTATGAAGCTGTAGGTAACTGGAGTTCTAGGCAATGCTACTTATTATTACTGCTATTCCTATTACTTTTATTATTACTACTATACTACTTGTACTATTATTATCACTAGAATTCTTCCTATTATGGACGGGCTGCCCCGATCCCTGTGCTGGCCATGCCGGGATGCTTGAACTGCTTTGCTGTACCTTAAGGGGCCCGAATAGGGTTTCCCAAAACTAGGGGTACCTTGTAAGGGGGGATATAAGGTTTAGGGTTTCTCAAAACTAGGGGCACAGTGGGATTTTGATGGGGTTGGAAGCATTACCCCAATAGTGGAGCATCGAATGGGACGGAGATTTTACAATGAGATGGAAGCTGGGATTATTTAGTGCTTATGGGGGAATGGCCAACATGTTGGTCCTAGATTACTTGTAAATTTGCAAAGGCATAACGCTACCTCGAGTATACTTCACAAAAAAGATATTGGTAATGAAACAATAGTGAAAGTAATACGAGTAGTAATTTTTCTAGCAATAAACGTAATTATAACCGTAAAAGTACTGATATTAGTAATGATGATAACTGTATTGCATAGGAATCTGCACAGGTTAGCGCGCTGAAGACTTGTGCGTCAAGTGGTACCATATCCACTCCATGCGGGACGACAACAATAGGAGTTTAAAGGCGAGGGTCATAGCCTCAACGATCGTCATGATAATTCTCCTTAGTTCCAAAAGCTGTCAAGCTTGCGGGTGAGCAGAGGGGAAGGGAGAAAAAATACATATCATGTTACATATCAATCAAAAGTGAGAGTCAACGTTCTTGTCCATTCCTTCATTGCCTACTGAACAACAAACAGTAAGCCGGTTACAATACCTGTGCTCGTTTCATAATTTGATTTTACATGTGATTCCCAGCAGGTAAGTAAGTAGGCAAAAACGCATGATTTCCCACTGGGCCTCCTATGCTTGCTTGCAGTAAGGACCCCAAAAATGCTCAGGGGTCACAAGGGGACTAGGGGCTTCTTCTCGGAGCTTCTATAGGATTAAACTGAGGAAATGCATGCTGTATCAGCACAACGATTTCTTTGTTTTGTTTCTACAGTCATTGGTCTTGTTGTTGCAGGAACAAAATCTGCAGAGCATCATTAATTGTTTGCCGTACCGCGACGACCGCCATCACTGCAGCCCCCACCACGGCCCCCGCCACGATTCCCACTGCCACCACCTCCACTGCCACCTCCACCGCCACCTCCACCGCCACCTCCACCGTCACCTCCACCGCCACCTCCACCACTACTACGATTACCATGACATCTTCTACTACAGCCATTACCTGGCAGGCTTTCAGTCGGGAGCTCAGATGTGCCGTTCGCAGGGAGTTGTTGCACATAGGAGTCAG